GATCGATCGCAGTAAAGTACTTGTTATGTCGCGACACCAAATTTCGATTAGCCGTAAACAAAGATATACTCCATGTCACGTTAATACTATGTAAAAGTACGCGCTTATTATAATTTCACCAATTGCTCTCCTCCGTACAATTAATACATTATAGCGGTCAAAGTTGCCATCTTAGTTTGTCTGCCAACCCGGAAATCGACAAGACGGAGTGACCTCTCTAAAGAAAGGGGAAGAGTATGTTAATAATAATAATAATAATATAATGTATATAATAATAATTAAAGAAGTAATAATAAAAGAATATATCTACTTATATCCTTTTTTCAACCCCAAAAATAGTCGAGAAAACTATTGTTCTAGTAAATGTTACTATAATGTTAATGACAATAATCTTACGTACATGTTGCGACTGCTATTTTTGTGATTAAAATAAAAAAAGGATATTGTTGTCCCCGAAAATAACTATATTTTTCTCTCAATATACACTATCAAAATGAATCCGCTACTTATACTTCTAACACAATCAAAATTTCTACAGTAGCTTCTTTACTTTAAAAGCATATTTTGTGCACGGGAAAAAAGTTTGTTTGTATCAACCAGAAAAGGAGCAACCAGACTCATTTTGATTGAAGGAAATAGAATTTCTGGTTATAAGAACCAGAAATTCTGTCGTCTTCAATCAGAACGCATCTGGCTATTCTTTTCCGGTTAATGCAATCAGATTTTTTCCGTGTGTTACTTGTGATGATTTTCATTAATATATTTTGCTCCGAGTTCATAGTATATCTTGAGTTCATAAACTATCGGTTATATGTCTTGCCGCATTGGCCCGGGGATTTTATCTTTTGCCGGAAATCCGGAGATTTTCTTTCCCGTCCGGGAACTCCGGAGAGGCGACGATCCTGGCTGATTTAAGATTCAGAGCTTGGTCAGTTGACCACTACGTAATCGCTTCCTCCACGATCCGCGGATTTTTATCGGCGGGGAGAGGGGCTCCGATTCGCGATCGAGCCAATCAATTCGGAATGCAGAAAGATCATTCCGCCGCTCTCCGTGCGGCTCTAACATCGGCTCTAATTTACAGAAACGCGATCGCGCGGCACGCGATGAAGATGGTTTCGTGTTTCTTGCACCTGCGAGCACCAGCAGTACCAGTCGCCGTCGCGCATACGCTCCAGGAATGTGTCGGGCGAACTATACAGGGTGTGCCGGACTCGCGTCATGGATAGTGGAACGTCGTGCGAAATTAGTATAACGCGCAAATCGTGCCCTATCCGACATGTCGCCGACGAGCTCGTGACGAACGAAACTGTTAGCGCGTAGAAAAAAGCGCGACTGCGAATTCATCGATCGTAAACATCGCGAAAGGCGTAAATCTCGCGGATGCCGAACTTTATGGTTCCTGAGCTTCGTCGATTCCGGGTGCGGCGATTTTATGGAAGACGTTTATCTTCGCGGAAATCTCCTCGCCGCGCGGATATTTCTCTGTATCGAGGATGCTGCTTGCGGAGAGACGATGAAGCCGAGCTTTCAAGACACCTTGTGCGTTCTCGCGTCCAGATGTGAGCGTAGCGCCGGGGAAAAAAGTATCCTCGCGGCCGACTCGTTACGCGTTCCAGCGCAAATGGATATTAATTGCCGGAGCGATGGGGGACTTGTTGTTAGATTAACTCTAACATGAATATGCAGGACCTCGAGGAAATCGTCCTATCGGAAGTTCGCGGCATCGTCGGCGCCGAGATTAATGCGGGCGCGGCGCGCTCGTTGCATTCGAGCGCGTCCTGCTTGTAACGTCGCGCTACCACGAAATGAATCCGCTAGAAAAAATCACTCACCGTGCAAATAACTGGAAAGACGAGGCGAGTACCGGGAACTGTGATGATCCGAACGCATGACTCGGAAATTCGATCGCGCGGAATACACAATATCCCTGCCTTGAAACGCGCTAAAAGCGAGCCGCCGTCGCGAAACGAACGCGCATTGGCGGTGAACGAGAGAGCCGCTTGTGCAATTTACTGCAATAGCGTGTCCGGGAGAGTCAATGCTAGGACCTTGCACTCCACGTGTACGCGTATATCACAGCATGCACGTGCGCATCGGAAGATTATGCGTTCCGGAGGAACAGACGGGGAAGGAGGTGTGCGGAAGGACGACTCAGATTAGATTACGTGTTGATTACGTCGCACAAATACGTTAACTGAATGTAAAAAGGAAACCGATAAGCATCGATATAAAAATTAATACGGGAATACGGAGAGCCGGATTCTTCGAATATATTCCATGTCACGTGCGGAACCGAGCGCCGAGGGAGTCGAATATATAGAATAGAAAAAAAGTCGCGGTTAGAAACGTTAGGAAGTTGCGAACGTCGGAGGTAAATCGAGCCCGCGATAAATGTCGCTTGGTAAAGACAAGATAAAAGCGCCGAGTCGCGAAATTGCTAAAGGTGCATCTTTAGGCGAAAATCGCTAACGTTCGTCTTCCCTCCCTTTCTTTTTCCTTCACTCTGTCTCCCCCTCTTTCTTTCTGTATTTCCTCAAGTCAGCTCGAGGGAATAAGGTCGAGGTGCTTGAGCCACGTCCGTTCGGGCGATCCTCTCAGTTTACAGGTCGACGAACTTGCTCGATATTAAGGAGGGATAAGTCCCTAATTAAGAGCGCCGATAAAGTCCGGTTCGCGCTCGCCCAGCCTATCGATCGCGACGCTCGATTTTGATATCGCGCGAACAGTCGACTGGCTCGACTCATGAATTCTTAACCCTTTCGGTAGTCGCACACCCATGTCCACGTATTCACCGGGACGTCCCGAAAGTATCATCGTCCACCTACTCTTTTCCTTTCCCAGAGCTTTACCTTCCTTTCGTCGTCTTCGGGCTGATTAAGATCGCTGAGTCGACTTACGGTTCAGCACGCACTTTCACCAAATTTATCTTTTCTCGGATAAAAACTCGGCCGGTAATATTACTTTTAAGGGAAAAAGAGACGTGGATCATGAACGCGCGATTTCCCAATTCCTGTGACTCGTCCTCGTTATTTCGTCGTCATAAATTTTAATCTGTATTTAATGACTTATAATCGTCTGCTAATTCGAGACATAACTATCCAGACTTTCGACACGCATGCTACCTTAATGACATGTTTATTGGCGAACAAATAACTCCTCGGTCCCTTCGTCCACGTTTTTCTGTTCTCATTCAATGTTCTCTTATCTAGGGTCGTCATAAAGTGAAAGGCTCGGTTATTAAAATGAAATTAGCTGTTTCGCCCTATTCCACGGTTTTTAATTTAGAAATCTATTAAATGATAATTTCGGAGATGAGGAAAAGAATCGTCACAAAAGGGCGATGATTCGATATATCGACTAGATTCCTTATCTCGTGCCGCGCTTCTGTCGACATTCACTATGGATTTTCCGGAGTCGCGACAAAATCACAGGAACGCTCTGTATAATACGGCCGATTTATCACGAGGCGACAGTTCGACTGTGTTTTAAAACGGACATCTTGTACGCGCGAATGCAAGATTGAATGGAGCGGCGCGTGCTGCTTAAAGGGAGATAAATCAAGCGAACGACTTCGCGAGCGCACATATACACACGCACACATACATGCGCACACAGGGCGCGACAATACGTCATCCTGCTCGCTGCAGGAGTCAACGCGAAGACTCCACCGTTCGCGCTATAATAAAAGTTTAAGATCTGAGGATTTCCGTGGCATCGTGAAGGAAAAATTATAGCTAGCGGGTTGACTCTCTCTTTCTCTCTCTCTCTCTCTCTCTTTCCCTCTCTCTGCGAAAAACGCGGGAAAAGTCGCGACATCTTCCGCGACAATCGGCAGCGAGAGGGAAAATGCACCGTAAATATTGCCACGGTTATGATATAAATATAGACGGTGTCGTAATACAAATATTGTTACAGCGCGAGCGAGAGTTTTTTTTTTTAATATTTTCACGTCGCTCGATTTTCCGCGGTGCGAGGTGAATTTAATTCATTCGTTATAAAGTGCCAATATTGGAACATCCGACGTTATCCGTTGCTCCTTCTGTCCCGCGGTATTTTATGCGTTTTAACGGGCGTCGTTTTCAGTAAAGAATGTTTATTCCCTTTCGATGAAGCGGCGAGTAAAAATTTATTGTGCTTCACATTGCCTCAACAAGTTGAGAAATATTGCGGAGCCATCGAGTCGCGACGTAATGAGCATCGTAATGAAATAATGGAACATACATCGGCGAGCACATACCCCACGTCGAGTACACGTTTTAACGTAACGTCAATCTTTGTAGCAACTCGCGATCCAATTTCGACTTCGAACACGATCCATTATCGCGTTAGCGACGTGGAATTCTCTCGAGAGACGTAGACGTGAACTCGCCAAGTGAACTCACGAGACGACCTTAACTTTTTTCATACGAGTTATAAAAGGAGCAAGTGTTTTCGCCGCGTGTTCTCTTCCGCGGAGCCGCAAAAACCGGAAGCCGAGAGACTCGGGACGTGGAAAAGGGCAAACGAGTTTCCGTCGGTGTTCGCTCTCGGAATACACCTCTCGCTGCGAGGTGGATATCGCTATGCAGTGCTCCACTTTCTATCGGAGCATCGTTTACGCGCGAAACGCTAGAAGCTTCGTCGGAACGATGACGTTAGTCGGGATTCGACGGTATATCCCTTTCCCCGTTCGTTTCAATGCGTATCGATACACTTTGCGCGGGAAATTTGACAATACTTGCACAAAGGGCACTTGTACATACCGAAACACGATATCACGAGGATAGTTCATCATTCGGAGCCCTTTTGCAATCAACAGGGTTAATCATACCGTCGACGCTGAAGCGCGACACAATCGCGTCTCAGCAAGGGACGCGTTGGTGCACCACGTGCGCACTCGTCGAGCCAACGCTCGACTTCTCCCCCGTCCGCGCCAAGTATGAAATCTCGACGGTAATTCGCGGCAGGTCGCACCGACGGCGCTAGGAAGATCGCAGAAGCGGAAAGATCTCACTTACCAAACGACGCCGAAGGCCCCGTAGCCGATGGGTCTGTCCTGGACGGGATCCTGGGCGGGTGGTGGCGGCGGGGGCGCGGGTGCCGCGGTGTGATAATAAGTGGGGGGCGCCGCCTGGGCCGCGGCGGCGGCGGCAGCGGCCGCCGCGAGGACCGCTTGACCCGGATGGGCCCCGGCCGCGGTGCCGCCGCCACCGGCGGCGCCGGTCGCCCCCGCCCCACCGCCCTGCATCAGCGGTATCGACACGCTCATGGACACCCGCGAGTGCCGGCTGGGCCCGACCACTGCCATCAAAGCAGGCCCGCGCGCTCTTCACGAGACGGCGGCGCGCCCCCTCGCCCTCCAGCTAGCACAGCGAGCCACCGTTATTACGTTTCGTCGGGGGCGCGTTGCTTGACGTCCCTGACGGGCCCCGACTCCGCGCAGACCGATCGACGGAACGATCGATCGATCGATCCCGACCGCGCGTCTCGACAGTAGTGGCGACTCACGCGACGAGCATGACGCTACCGCACCGTAAGATCTCCTCTCTCCCTCCTCCGTCTCACTCGTCGCGGCGATGATACGCGGTCGGTTTCGTCAACTGCCCGCGCAGTCTCTTACCCTCTTACTGCTTCGCAGACGAGGGAGGGAGGAGGTGTGAAGCAGCGACGACGTCCTTTATCGCGCCGTATCCTTGTCTCTCTCTCGCTCGATCACGCACCGGCCGTCACCGTTTTCCTTATCTTCGCTCCCACGGGGGAACCTGTCCGCGTTTCCGTTAATGCGATCAACACGTTCTTTTTCAATCCGTTCTCGCGACAGCGAACGTTCCGCAGGTTATGTTTGACGTTTACGCACGCATGCATGAACACACACCGCCGTCGCCGCGCGCCACTGCTCCAATCACGGCACGCCGCTCCACTCTCTCTCTTTTTCTCTCCGTCGCCGCCGTCTGTCAAACGCACTCGTAGCAGCGTCCTCGTCAGGACCGTCCCAGGGGCGAAGGGTTGACTCGGTGGAAGAGCGGGAGACGACGCTTGTTCCTAGGAGACACGCGACGGAGAAAGGAGACGCGGACGGAAGGCGCGACGAGTCGAGGAGACGCGAACTGCTACTCCGCCGTGCAAGCACACACCACGACCACTCGACGAGTCCAACGTCGTCGTCGTCGTCGCGTTGTGCGTACCCGTGCACGGACGAACGAGACTCTCCTTCGGCGGCGCGCACGCACGCACGCACGGGCCCCCCCGCGAGAACCCGCGGCCCACCACTGCCACTGTGTTGTGTAGTATCACCTCCTCGCGGAGGGCAAGCCGTCGCACACGCGGCGGACAGACGAACACCAAGAAGCACCAAGCACACGCGACGCAGGCTTTCGCGGCGCGGATGACACGCGCGATGCACGCCGCGAGACGGGAGAGAGACGAGCGAAACGGAACAGAAAGAGAGAGACACAGACAGTTAGAGGGGGAAGGGGGAGAAAAGGTGAGAGTCTCTCGCGTAGAGCCACGACGGGAAATCCAGCCGCGCTCCACCGACGAAACGCACATCCGCTTGCTGCCAAGGCTTGTTGGCCACTGACAACGGAAAACGGCCTGCCGTCCGCGTCCCGCGGCTGTCGCCGCACAAAGGCTGTCACGTGACAGGCGCGAGAGCCACCGCGCAGCCGAGCAGACCGGAAGCCGCCCCCGTGATCGACGCGCGCGCTCTTTCAAACTGCTCATCGGCCCAACTGGATTCCGTCTGGTCTTTCGCGTTTGTATATCGCTTTGCAAATTTCATTTTCGCCTGACTTACCGAGAGGTGACGTTTGAATTGGACGATTTCGCGACGAATGCACGAGAAACGATGCTTTAATCGTGGAACAATCATCGCCGTTACCTTTCGAACACACCGTAGTCTTCAGTCCGTATTCTGAATTCACTTTTATCGATAAAAGTGCCTCTATGAGTGGCTTGGAAGCCATCTGATTGGCTGAAAAGCCAATTAAAGCACTTAGAACACTTAAACGCAAAACATTTAAAGCACTTTTATCGATAAAAGTGAATTTGAGATGTGGACCTTTGATTTGGTTTTTTTCGCTGAACTAGTGTACATTTGTAGAACTTAAAAAGAATATACAATTAAGACTTGGTGGAAGAAAGAGGAGAGAATTGGTAGAAATAGTGCAGCCAATTCGATGAAAAAAATGGATCTTTTGTCGTACCCAGACAGCACATAATATCATTCGTATATATGATTCTTATACTGCATACATGTAAATATACGCAACATATTGAGAACATCTCAGACAGCACGCAATATTTATAAAATATTTGTAAAATATAAATATTAAATATTTAAATAACATCCAAATGTTCAAGAAAAGTCAAGTACGAGAAAGATTATGATAAATATTAAAAAATACTTTTGATAAATATTTTTCATAATTAATTAAAATACGGTTTGCTTAAGTGACATCATGCTTTTATTACTTGTGAAAAGTATACTTCATAAATATTTGGAATATTTACCATAATCATTCTCATATCTGACATTCCCGGACATTTATATATAAATATTTACAAAACATTTAATATCTATGTTTTGTAAATATTTTATAAATATTGTGTGATGTCTGGGATCCCTGCAATGTCTCAAGGTATATCATACCTCGTATATTCTTGGGATATTTAGGATATAGAAGCTTAGGATATTCGATATTCTTAGTATATCACGTATATTCTCAATATATTCAATACATATCTCGAATATTCTTTGAATATACGTGATATATATTTTACGACATTCGTGAAACATTTTCAGGATCTACTTGAGCTGTGTTGGTAGTTACTGACTTTCTTTCTGCTCGCTCCCTCGTTGAACTTTTATTTCCATCTCTCGTAGCGAAGTAACTGAATTTCGACCGGATATCGCGGTTTCCTCCGCCGTGCAATCAAGGATAGGGATCATGAGGTCACGCAAAACGAGGGGGAAACGAATGCAACACGGGAGCTTTGCGACGTGTGTATATATTTACACGATTGTGACGAATTCTCATCGTCGTATGAAATTAGCGTATTTCTCTCTTTCTCTCGTATATTCCTCTCCTCACACAGTTGCGATTGCGATCGCGTGTGCGCAGGTACACGGGCCTAACACGCGCGCACGATCACGTAGGAAAATATGCGGAAGATTACATCTCGAATCGTTCGTCGGCGCCGCAGTAATCCCTTTATCTTTGGTCTCCTCGTCGAATCTCCTCCCGGTCAATCGTCCCTTGCGTTCATTGCGAAGCCTATGTTAATGGGCATATGTGAACGTCTTTTCGAAAGCAAGAGGGATAATAAACGGCAATTAACCTAGACTTCGCCATCCGCAGGATGACATAATCCTTGTGCCCTCTCAGTTTTCTCCCCCTTAACTCGCGCAACGCACGCGAATCCGCGACACGGATCAGAGTTCGGTAAGACTCTCGTCGACTCTACATTGCGATGAGATTGTAAATCTCCGAGTTTCCCCCCCTCTCTCTTGATCCGCGGGATTCCTCGTCCGCGAGTGCCAGTGGGAATCGCATTCTTAAATTGTGCCGGCATCGTCGATTCGACACGCCGCGGTCGCCAAAAGTCCGTAGAAAAATCCTGAGAAAATAGCAGTCGCTTTTAAAATAGAACGCGATTCCTACCACCGCATGGTTGTCGCTGCTGCCGTTCTCTTTCGCTCCTCTTCCTCTAACGGGAGAAACTCTTAGAAATTCACGGGTCTTTTTGATTGCTCGCGGACACTCGTCGTCGCGAGTGCGTTTCGCGCGCGCACTGTCGCCTGGCCCGCACGAGAGAACATCCCCCCGCTCGGGGGATGTTCTCTCGACCACAACGACTCTCTCTATTCACTAACAAGCGCACGATTATCATTAGCGGTATTAAGCTCATGAGGTACGGTGTATTTTACATCGTTCGTATATGAATGCTCGTGTATGTGTGTGTGTGTGTGTGTGTGTGCGCGTGCGTGCGTGTGTATTGAAGACCATCGGCACAAATTTCGCATATTCAGAATTCATCTTAAAATACGTAGCTCTCGCCGTACGAAGAAACTCATTTAAATATACACGTGTACGCACATACCTAACAATTATGTCTCTCTTTCTCTCTCTCTCCCCCACGAACTTTATTAACATGTATTCTTATGTTGTACATAATCCTCCTTGCGATACAATCCATATTCGTCTTCGGACAAAGTCGCTGAAGTCGCCCGTGTACGACGTGTCTGAGAAGAATCGAGTCTTCTCTCTCAGGCCACTCCGCGTCTCCCGAAGATCGACGTACAGATAGTTCGATTAGGATCACGCTACGTCGGTGTAAGGGCAGCTTAGGCACCGTTCGATCACTCGCTACGAATCGTCGTCGGCTTCAAGAATCGGCTCCACAGTACGTGTCAATGAAACTTACACTTGTCTCTCGTTTCGTTTCGAACGTCATCATCGTGCCGCGAGAACGATCGTGGTAACACGCGGGTAAAATTCGTGCGAAAATGCGTTTATCGGCTTTTCGACTCTGCGAAAGAATCGCGCGGCCGAGAGATCTACGAGAGCTCGAAGCCGGTGTTGCTGGTGACGGCGTAGCGTAACTTCTCCCGTAGCGTGCTCTTCTTTTGATAATTGGGCAGCTTAAGTAGGTTGAAGCACGTGGACGAAGTGGGCAGTCGGTTCTGCGGGTCTTTTTTGCGAATCGTGAAGAAACCTCTAATTACACTACCTGTAAAAGTGAAATTTCACAGTGAGGTTTGATAAGATACGAAATTGAGGATTTTTAACTAACGAATAAAACAGTTTTTGCAGTTTCGTAATTCAATGTCGCGGAGTATTGATTATACGTGTCAAAATCTACTCGCGTTTTTTTTTTCCGAGACCGCTTATGACAATCATACCGATGGTATCGCCAGTATCCTCGTCGTCACAAACCTCCACGCATCGTATGGAGAAAGGTGGTTCCAGGTGAGCGAAACCCAGCAACGGTGACTTCGAGCAACTTGTCACGAACTATCGGAACGTCATTGTTAAAAGCGATATTAAAAAGAATGTTGAGAAATCATTAATATAGATATCGAGAAACATGTTTTCGAACAATCGTCGGGGAAACCGACGAGCTCGAGTAAAACAGGATAGTTACCTTCAGGAACAAACCTCTCTCCTCTTCCGTAAAGTCCTTCTCCAAGATGTCCCACAACCAACACACTACTCGATGACTGTCGTGGAAGCCACCGTAATATTGTGTGTGCCTTCGTAGATCTCGCAAGTCCAAGGGAACGTTGTCACCCGAGATCAGTCTCTGTAACTGCGAACCGCCGCCGCACTTTGTGATTCGTCTTTTCGCGATATAATCGTCGCGCTATGAGCGAGTTTCTAAAGACCGGAAGTCACTATTTGTCATGATATTCGCTCACCTCGGGCGTGGAGAATAACGATAGCCAGTCGGGATTGATGATCGAGCGAAATCCTTTGATGAAGGCCGTCGTTTGCTCCTTGATCTGATGATGCATCCTGTAGTGTGCCATATGATGAATGTAATGGATCTTGTTTTGATTAGTGACCGCTGTAGTTCGTCCGCCGGGGATCAGCTCGTGCGTGATCAGCTTGCCGAGCACGTCCTCATCCAGCGAGAACGTCAGCTCGAGCTGCCTCACGTCACCTTTGTAATGCTTCACCAGGGTTAGACTGCGATACAGGTCGCGGTCCAGAGACGCGAGCTCGTCGAGCCAGCTGTACAGCGCACCGCCCGCCTGCCCGGAAAATTGGGAGACGAAGAACGATGCGAAAGGCACATCCACGACGATTCCCTGGAAAACGAATCCATTCGATTTTTGCGAGAGAAGTGGCCTCGATTTCGAGAGACATTTCCAGTCGCGGTTGTTTCCGGAAATTCGAGGTAGTCCGTAATTGATACATCGGTACGTCAACTGTTCATTGATTTAGTAGCTTTTATGAAAAGCGTAACGACTTACCTCGTAAACTGCTTTGCCGAGCATCCGCCCGACGAATTCGAACAGTTGCAAGTGATTGTCCTGCATGAAAGACGTGGGAGACGGGTAGAGTCGGTTCTCGCTGGTGGCTTTGAACAGATTTAGGGATGGGTCAAACACCCGCTTTATTGTCTCCTCCAAAAATTCCTTGAAGACCCCGTCCTGATCGATACCGGCTTCGGCCAAGCCCTGCTCGTTCACGAAGCGTACCCTAATTACACCCTTGAGCGCCTGTGACGGCAGCATAGCCAGCTGCCTGTATCCGTCCTCGACTATTCGTGTCCTGTGAAATGCGAAAGTGTTCACAATAGTCGCGATCCTTTATACGATTAAACCAGTATATGGCATGGCACACAGAGAAATGTAAGCAGTAAGCACAACAAGTATCTTCAGTGATAGCATAATTTCTGAATGTGATGTACACCTACGAGTTAACATCAACACCATTTTCTTTATTAATCCGAGATTTTTTTAATTGTGCTGATAAAGGTCCAGACATTAAAGACCAAAACGTTCGTTACAAATCGAAACGTTCATATTTCTTACATTAAGTTTTCCACTTTAACACCACTCTTTTACTTGCTTTATGTTTATTGCAATTGTATATCTTGAGAGTCACTTATATTCTTAGTAAACAGTAATATTCAAGCAGTAAAAAAATTGACCGATCAGAGCCGATTATTCTCTATCCGGTTGAAGAATAACGGACCGTTATTGATGAATTTTCTTATTGCTTACGTTTTCGTGTGTGCCATGGGCCTAACAGTATATCATGAAGAACGCGTTCAAATGAATCTGACCTGTGCACCACGATGAGAGTAGTCGGCGGACTGTTGCAGGCGCTCTCAGTCAAGCCCATCACCGCCTTCTCGTCGGCTATGTGCTTGCGAAACAACACGACTCGCTCGGAATGAGGTATCACGTGGGGCATCTTGGAGAGTAAGAGCGCCGCGCCACGTCGACCCTTTTCCAGATCGGCGAGGAAACCGGACACTCGCACCTCCTGTTTTTAGAGAGAAACTTAAATCACGATGGGAAATAACACGATGAAGGAGACGACACGATTGCTCTATAACGTTGATCGCGTACAGATTCGATAATCCGCAATTAGATCTTTGCGATAGATACACAGTTTTATCGGAACGGTAGAGAAGGTAAAGCCGAAATACTTAACTTAGCCAGCCAATGGCCTTCCGGACAGAACGTGCGACGGCAATCTCGCCGGTAGATGGCCATGAGGAGAGTGTGAAGCGAGATGAACAGAGGATTGCTGGACACCGACTTCACGTCTGCGACATTCGGGACTTTAGCGTGCAGGTTACGCGTATCGTATCTTCGCGCTTGAGTCAGTCAATACTCACCGAATAAATTAGTGAGAACTGCTTTGTATAAAAACTGGTTTAGGAAGCACGATATGGTGACGAAATCTGTGAGCTTAAAGGGGTCCTGCTGCTCGTACATTTCCATATCGTCTAGAATACTGAAATCCGAAAAGTGAGATGGTATCATTTTCCAAGCTCGTTAGTTAAAACGATTAAGTCAGATCCAGCCGCTAATGTCGTGTTAATTCCTTTCATATTTCTACTTACGTCACATAATGCGTCATACAATCGGAGAACAGTATCAACATCTGGAACTCGGGCGCCGTGCACTTAGTATTGGCCGCCAAGAGATCCAAGAACGCCTTCAGGCCGCAATGTGGTCCCAGGGTGCACAGAAACAACCACATGTGGTACAGAATCTTGTCCTGGTAGCACAGACCTGTTCATATACGCGTGTATGTAATGTATTTTGTCAGAACCTTCGGTCTACATGCAAAGACATCGAGATAAGTTGTCGCGAAGCTTGTCTGTTACTCGCGTTAATCCGCGTACCAGTCAGTATCTCCACCTTCATCTGCGTGAGGGTGTGTAACGCCGTTTGATACAGCGAACAGATCAAGGCTATCTTGGTGGTTTCGGGGCTGCCCAGCTTCCTATAGTTTTTGGTGCTGTTGTTCCTATTTGTACGCGCCTCCAAAAACGCTCGTCGGAAGATATTGGCGCCCACCGAGGTACTCTGTTGCTCCACCGTGGGTGGCACTTCTTTTTCCACGAGTTCGGTCAGTGGCTGCTCTGAAGGAAAAGAGAGAGAAAAAAAAGGATAGAAAAATAGTAGACTATCGTGACGTAAATTTCGCGGCATAAAAACCGACGAGTCTCACCGATCAGTTGTGAGACGATAGTGCCGGTCCATAGACAGGCTAATTGCAATTTTACCGAAGGAATAGCCTCTTGCAAGGACGTGTCGATGGTTTGCGCGAACCAACCCAGCACAGGATGCCAATGCGTTAAATTGCTCTGTTTGGCCACCACGTATTGTTGACACGCTTCCAGCATCTTCGTCACCACGAACTGTAAGAGATTCGCGGGATATCACATCGGAACCACGATGTACGCGCGATCTCGCGAGAATCAAAACCGGAGCGGTATAATTCCGACAAGTTCTATTTCCGACTCGAACGAGATCCGAAAAACCAACGAGATAACATCGGTTTCAATTTCACCGAAGTTTCACCGTAAAAGAAGGAAAATAGAGCTCCCTCAGCACTTCTTCCCTCTCGATATTCGCCAGCTGTATTAGATTTGCGAGCAAGCAGAGCGCGTAACTTCCCTCTAGAGCGTTGAAGACAATCCTCAAGTTCTGCTCGGAATTTAGCAGCTCCAGACTCCTCGCGAATAGATTGTTCGCGATGAAAGATGAAATGCACTGCAAATACAGATCAGAAACGCTTCACGTGCTGGTCAGAGGGGAAGAAACTAATTATCTAATGTGTCATGTCGCGGAAATATTTGTCTCATTCGTACCTCCGGTGACAGAATGTTCAAGTGATAAACCAGCGCCGGCACGCTGAAGATGTTAATTAGGAATAAGGACACCAGCTTGTCTGACATCTGTGAAGACATGAGCGGTCTCAGCGTCAAGGTAACAGCTGCTGAAAGCGTGACCGGTTTCAAAGCGATCTTCGCTCTACCCAATCCCCTCACTAACAGAGCCTGGAATCAAGAACGTAAGTTAGAACTGTTCGATGAATTAAAATTGTATCGAGAGTCTCTCATTAGCATCTGTTACCTGCATGGTGGCATAAAACCCGTTGTTAACCAAATGGCCCATGATGTTCGCACATAGCTGGTTCATGCCAGCCTTCAGTTTATCCATGCCCTTCACCCTCTGGATAGCCCATGTGCCTGGTGACGTGAAGCTCACCAGAGTGTGAAGGCGAAGCAATATCGACTTGTGGTCCGACACCCTCTCCGGCTTGAGGTTCTCCAGGCCGCAGAGGCAGTGATGCAGGACCGTCTTCATCTGCGATATCCATGATATGTAGTGATCTTTGTTGAGTGCAACTCCAACGTAGGATATTTTCGGTGACTCCGAGTCGAGAGTGAGCACAAGGTATCTGAAAGGGTCGCCTTTCTAGAGAATAACGCCCCCTCCGAATAAATGTGCGAGAGAATTTGCCGCAAGTCGTGTACCCACCTACACACTCTCTCTATTCTCTCTTGATCCCTTTCTCTTTTATATATTAACAAAAATCTAGAGATAATTCTGTACACATCCAGAGCAGGCTTCAATTCTATCGCGGTCTCGGTGCCGCCGGTGTCATCGAGAAAATTGTTGTCGAACTCTTCGCTAGAAATTTGGAAAATTACGTTACAAAGTGGCTGTGTAATTACATCCCGTGATGAATTTGTTATAAACTTATAGTGAATTTATTATCACGTCATAATGCTGGCCAATCGCGCGCAAATTAATAAATGCGATAATTTAAGTATATACAATAACATAAATACGATAATTTAATTTAAATGCGATAATTTAATGTAAGTAAATTTGTGCTATAATTGCTATACTAGAAATGTATCGGTGTAACAGGCAAGGCATCAATATTCCAAAGCTCCGCTTTGCGTGCTTTCAGGCTGGACGTATCGTTTCTAGATATTCGTGCAAAGTGACTCAGAGCTGATTTGATAACAGTAAATGTTTACGAGCGTACGATAAACAGAATGTAAAGTTAAAAGATAGGAACGACGCGCGTTGCGGAACATTAAAAATGAATCGATAAAAAAATTTAATTTCGGTCTTGGTCATCGACAATCACGATGCACGAATATCTAGACACGATGCGCATTTAGATTCTCCACCTGAAAATACCTGCGTCCGAACTGGAAAGCGTTCTCGATTTCTCGCGGCTACACCCGGCATAAGTCACGCAAATCCAGAATTTTCTTATACTCGCGCGCGAAATCAACGATCCGTAAACCATCAGCAACATTTATTTACGTTACACACACACACACATATACGAACACGCGCGCATTCTCACCGTACTCGAGGTCTGGTTCGTCTTACCTGCACTTTCTGCACCCAAGAGTGAAAGGAACATATGTCCGAGCTCGAGAGCGAGCAAGAAAGAAAGGTAACACAGTCTCGAAGGTGCGTGTAAAACGAACAGACCCTCTCCTGCGCGCGTAAATTCGCAGCCATTCAACTACACGCATTTGCCCAACCACACGCGCATTTATTGACAGCTTTGTTCTCGCGGAAGCCATCCCTTGTAGAGACGCTCCGGGTCCGTCGACGTCGCCGTGCTCCGGAAGTGTTTCACTTACAGTATCCGCTTGGTGAAGCGGACACGGGTCAGCCAGGTCCTGACATGGGCCTGGATCAGGGTGGCCGCGGCCTCCCTGCGCTTCTCGTGGGCCCGGTCCTCCCGCGCTGCCTTCTTCTGTTGCAGGAAATTGCCCTTCGACGAGCGTTCCGCTCCGAACATCCTCGAATTCCGATCGCAACCCTCCAACCCCGGTACCGAACCGGACGGACACCTACGCTCCTCGTCGTCCGCGTCGTCGTCGTCGTCGTTCACCGATGGCCACGAGACATCCTCGCGGCATCGTCGTCAGCTGACGAACATCTACCAACTACCCCTCTTTCCCCGTTCCTCTCTTTCTCTCCCCCATTCCCCTTCCTCGTACTACTGCCCAAAAGATCTCATTCGGCAGTGCCGGCCGCAGAACTTCGCAGACCCCGAGGTAAAGCGACAAGCGAGGGGCAGCACGGATTTCCCTGTGCGAACGTAACGACCTTATTTTTCGTTCGCACGGACAATGTAGATATTCTTGTTGCTAAGAGTACGTCCTCAATCTCAAGGTATTTTCTTACCGGCTGACAAGCGTTTTACTTTCTCTTCCGTAAGTAAGAAGACAGTTGATACAGATGAATTTGGAGGTTCGAACCGCTTGATCGGATGTTTTTAGATTAGATTAGGTTATGTCAGAAACCCACACTGGAAAAAAATTGCCAGGTTCAAGTAAATATTTGTTAAGAAGTATTGAAGCAGTTTATTTTATTTGGATTAAATAAATATTATTTGAATATAGCACACTGAAAAAAGTATTACGTTCAAGTAATATTTATTTAGTGCAAATAAAATAAATTATTTCAAAACTTCTCAACAAATATTTACTTGAACGTAGCGATTTTCAGTACAGATATCCTAGTTACTAATGTTCTTTTCTACGAGATGTCCCTGCACGTCTTCGCGAAGTCTTTAAATTTATTTCGATTCGTTTTTAGTCTTGCATTGATTAGTCACACATGCAATCGCCTTAATTGGAATTCCTTATTTAATTAGTAACAATTTTTAAAGATAGTTAGAATGTGAAAATTAGAGAAAATTTAATTAGTTCTCTTTATCTACATGTATATATATTATGTGCATTCAGTAACGTACCTTCTTCCAGCAGTGGCGGTTTCAGCCAGCAACTGCAACTGCGTCATCGGAGTCGAGTCAATGCTAAGTCGGGTTCAAGTCTTGGGTTTAAGGTTAGGTTCGAGTTTTAGCTAAGTTCGGTTCGAGTCTCGGTTAAGTAGGGATCGTTTCTTGATTAGGTCCTATCAAAGTAAGATAATTGCAGAGCACTTACGTTACCAACAATTTTCGAAAAAATTTTCTTCCACCTTTTCCCGATTTGTGTGTTCAAACGTTGCCAATGACGCGAACTTAGACAATAATTTTCATTTTTTCGGTCCAGCGAAAGTATAAAGCGAAATGTTTAATTGTGAATTAAATAATAAGTAATAAGAGCGAATATGGCAAAAATCGTGGCGTATGAATGCATGACGACTTAACTCAAACAACAAAATGTTCGAACATTTAAAATCGAGACAAAAGATGTCTTTAACATATAACGTCTGGAAGACGCCTTTAGGATATCTCTAAGACATCTTATGTCTCGATTAGACATTCTATCCTTTTGGAAATAATTAAAATAAATTAAAATAATTAAAATAATTAAAATAAATACAGATGCGTCGAGAATCGTACATATCGCTACAACGTAAGAAATAATCGATGAAGACATTAACACGCTTTGCGAAATCATGACCATCAAATTCTCTTCACGCTGAAAGCCTACTTGACGTTTGGGCTTCGCGTTTAATAGACGGTCGTTGCAGTGAAAGATGTCACGCGCCAAAGTGCATCCGGTCTCCGGTCTGCGTATGCGATAGCACATCCGCATCCTCGACTCTCCCGACGAGGGAAGGAAGGAAGGAAGGGAAGAAGGCAGGCAGGAAGGTTGTGATTCATCCACGCTTCATGCAGCGGCGAGGGCGGAGGTAAAAGCTAGGCTAAGATACGCGTCGCGTTGCGAGAGAGGATACAGCCGGAGGTCGACGATGAAGGAAAAGAGGGTCGAGGAGATTGCATCTCTTGACGATGACTGTGCTTGACGTCATTCACACGCGAAACGAAGCGTACAGAACGGATTTGTGCTTATGCACGTGTTACGCACGCAAATACGCGATACGCGATACGCGAATACACGAATAAGGCGACGCTCACAATCGGAATCTGGTCGTATCTCGGCTGACACTTGGTCGATTCTTTTTAGTTGAACTGGCTGCGCTAGTTCAAGAAATTTACGCACACTGAAGCTTAAGAATCTCGTACGTACGTCTTCAATGTGTACATACCTTTCTTGAACCAATGCAGCCAGTTCAGCTAAAAAAGGAACAGACCAATTGAAGATACAATAAAGCGAGTACGATCGAGGGCAATCGCAGGGATCGGTCTTTGGGAACATTCGCGAGATTCCATTCTTCGGCATGATCGAACAGATCGCTTGTTCCTAGAGAGAGGGAGAGAGGTGGGAGGGGGAAAGATGGATGATGGATCGAAGCTCAGCTCAGCAGCCGAGCACTCGCGGCTTGCCGTAGCTGCTATATTGTCGCTGAGAAACGAAAATAGCTGCTGTCAGCCCCAGAAGCCGTGAGGTGAAGAGGCGGCGGCCGATGAGCCGTTGAGGTGGCATGGCGCATGGTACGCGATCAGAAGGTGGAACGAAGAAGCGAACGAGGGTGGGACCTGGAACTAAGAAACCCGGCCGAATAGATTATACTTACGTAATCCTTCTTCTTCTTCTTCTCCTTCTCGTTCTTCTCTTCTTCCTCATCATCGTCGTCGTCATTGTCGCTAGAGCTTTGAAGCCAAGCCGATGTTGAGCCTCGGCCTCGTGTTATGGCACCGCACGAGATTGTAGACCTAACGCGATTTAAAGTAATAATAACGAAAACTAGAAGGACGTAACGAAAATAAGCGGCCGCGAGCAAAATCGTCGAGGAGACTAAATAGCGTTTGTAAAATATACTCGTTACTTTTCAAGATAAATGCGATTCGCGAGATAAGTGAGGCTTTTCATCCAACGATTAATCCAACTAACGTCTTCTCAAATTTGAGCGTCGCGGCGAATTAATGGGTTAATTGAGTCGATAGGCGATTTGACGGACAGCGGCGATTTGAGCCGCAGAGTAATGTAATACAATGTAATTTGGCCGGCGTGATTTAGCTCGTCGAACGCCAACAAAGTCCATTCGCGCGGCGATTCATTGAGCCGTCATCCCTCAGCGATAATTATCGGGTCTCGAGGTTCCGTCCAAGTATTCTCGCCGGAATTAGCCGGGGTGCTGACGGAATTAGCGGGCATACTGCGCGAAATTACACAACGTAACTCGCGTAATTATTATCGACGCGGGACGGCGCGAATGCGACGAATGCCAAAAGATGCGTCCCACCGTCGACGTCGGTGTCGATGAGAGGAAACGCATAAACGTCCGCACACCGTCGCGACGGCCAATTAATAACGTCAATTGACGATACGTCCGTGAGCTTTTCCGCGGCTAAGCCAAGTTAATTTCCGGTCAGGTGCGCCCCGGGAAAGCGCGGAGAAGCGAGAAGGAGCGAGAATCGGGAATTAATGTGTGCGCTTCTGATGAACTTGCACTTGACGCCGGGCCGTCCTCGACCGATCGCGTTTCCCTTCGATTTTCACGCCCGAGAGAACGTGCGAATTTTTAGAACGCCCGAAGCGACAGAGAGAGGGAGAGAGAGAGAGATCGGTGTCCTTCACATGATGCTGAAACGCTACTCTCCGGAGATGAACATCTCAAAGCGCTTATAACGAAAGTTTTCAGTGCTGTTATTTTTCAAGAATCGGATTTTCCATTCGCCTGCTCAAGTTCACATGTCGATGAAATATTCGGTCGAAATCATATCGAAATCAAGTCAAAATCATATGAAAATCAATGTTCGATTTGATATTTGTAAGATTTCATCACGATATTTAGACGATATTATATAGATATTAACGATCTAATCGTTATTCAATTTACATCATATTCACAAATTTATATATGAATATAACGATTTGGATATTTGGATATGATACCGACTAAATCATTTATAATCGGTAGAGATATGATGTTTTCCATATATCACAGAGATAACTAGATATTGGCTATACATCGACATGATATTAACAGAATTTGTCGTCAATGTAGCGTCAACCTTCCTTTATACATTAATGAAAAATCTAGTAGTTATCAAATCGAACGGTTAAAAAAGTCAATCATCGATATCGAACTTATCACCGACTTGTGAACCTGAGTGAAAAATCTATTCTTATATAATTTTCTTCCCAATTTTCAAGTCAAATCATGAATTATGTCATAGTTGTTATACTGACGAACGTTCGTATTACCCGAAGAAATCACGATCCAAACACTGCTACGCTTTAGTAATTATTATACGATACCGTTAAATTTAATAATCTGTGGAAAGATCGTTCGCGAAGTGGAAAGCCTACACGAGAATACGCTGGACCCAGCATCTCGCGATTCGCATCTTTCTCTCTCTCTCTCTCTCTCTCTTCCTCGAATCATGCCAAGCGCACGGCTCTCGGCTCGAGATAGCCTCGCGCAGGAATGCTCTCGCTATCGCGAGACGCGGATAAAATCGGCGTTCTCCTCGCGTGAGGTTACTCATTGTATCATCTTGGGAGGACATTGGCGCCGACGCCATCGTCGCCGCGAAACGCAATACCCTCCGCAAATAATTAGGGTATAATTAGGAGGATTGAAGAATAGCGAGCGAGCGCGGACTCTGTGACAGTGACACTTTCGCCTTCGGATATCGCTGATTCCGCTTCCTTGGCTCGTGCCAAGCGCTGACCATCGTTGTTCGGCGATAACCCGGCGGGTTCCGCGCCAGGAACGATCATCATCGTCGGCGCACCGACGACGGCTCCGAATGAAGAATGGTCTCGATGGATGAGCGCTTGTCGTTAGCTCATGTCGGCCGACAAAGAGGTGCATATTAGCGTCCGCGACGCGATATCGCGTTCGGTAGAATCCGAAGGCGTCGATGGATCCGAGTTTTCGCCCGCGTGTACACATCTCGTTGTGGTCTCTCCCTCTCTCTTTCAAAAGAGAGAGAAAGAGATAGAGAGAGGGAGAGAGAAAGAGAGAGAGAGAGAGAGAGTAAAACACGATCCACCGGGCGCATTTAGAACGGTTACAAATATTTTGCCCGGTCGTTTAGCTTTACGTTTATTATGAATCCGGCTACGCACCGTAAACTCTCG